ATCTTCTGGGAGAAAGAATTCAACAGGGAGTCGTAACGTGGTTCCAAACAAAAATTCTGCTGGAGACGCACCGGTGTCTGAACGCGTATGTGCCCGTAACCCCAATAGCACTGTCGAAAGTGTGCGTACCCAGTTATCATCGGCGTGACACATTATAGCCGCCTTAAAAACACGATGCCAGCGTTCGATTAAGCCGTTCGCTTGGGGATGATACGCGGTCGTGCGAATTCGTTGTGTACCGATCAGATTTAATAGCGCGTGAAACAATCTTGATTCAAACTGCGAGCCTTGGTCTTTGGTTATACATTTGGGTGCGCCGTACCCAGATATCCAAGTGTCAAAGAATGTGCGAGCAACCTATTGACCCTATAGATAAAAGACTTATGATATTGACATTATTTTGACAAACTCATAAGAATAATAAGTCAAAATACATAGATATGAAATTTACAGTTTGAAGGAATAATTAGAAGAAAATAAATGTTGAAATATTTCACAGCATTATTTAGGACACTGAGTATTTTTCAAAAGAATCTTTAAAATTTTAAATTATTTTAACAGAAAGTTCAAGTGCTTATTAATTGTTTATTTTAGTTATGCAATTATAACTTTTTGATCCTAATTAAATTGTCTTTCAAGTCATGTAAAAATATACATTTTTTATTTTTGTAAAGATTTTGGATATTGACATTATTTTGACAAACTCATAAGAATAATAAGTCAAAATACATAGATATGAAATTTACAGTTTGAAGGAATAATTAGAAGAAAATAAATGTTGAAATATTTCACAGCATTATTTAGGACACTGAGTATTTTTCAAAAGAATCTTTAAAATTTTAAATTATTTTAACAGAAAGTTCAAGTGCTTATTAATTGTTTATTTTAGTTATGCAATTATAACTTTTTGTTCCTAATTAAATTGTCTTTCAAGTCATGTAAAAATATACATTTTTTATTTTTGTAAAGATTTTGGATACCAGTTCAATGTTTTTCTATTTTCACCAAATGATACCAATTTGATAATTTAACCGACTTAGTAGCTCCAATAATAACGGAGTTAGCAATGGTGAGTTTTGGACACTGTGTATATGTATATATTTAATTTTATATACTTTAATTTTACCATTAGTATTAGCTTTCTGTTTTGTCATGTCATTTGTAAAAGATTAGGTAAACTATTTACCTAGTAGGAAGCATCAGGAAATGCCTTTTGAACTTGTAGATTTGTTTTCTTGTATCCTTTTTTCCTCTGCAAATGATGTAGATTATTTTGCGTAATCCAGGTTGCACCACGTGGAGGCAGTCTACCTTACAACCCTAAAAGTTTTTGTTTTTATTGTTTTTGTATTTTTATTTGGTTTTTATAAATTTTATTAAAAAATAATCCTATAAAATAAATAAAAAAAATAGTAATTCTAAATCACAATCATCACATACAATTTTAACAAAAAAATAAGAAATACAAAATAAATATAAATTCTATATCACAGTTATATGGTTCAATCCACACAACAAATAATTATAAAATTTTCGGTGGCGTTGGTTGGGCCGGTTTTTATGTTTCCTTTTTTTAATATAAGTATAAACTGAAAGTCTAACTGGGAAATTTTAAATTATTTTAACAGAAAGTTCAAGTGCTTATTAATTGTTTATTTTAGTTATGCAATTATAACTTTTTGTTCCTAATTAAATTGTCTTTAAGTCATAATCAATTTGTAGGAGTAACTTTCTATGATTTAAATAAAGCGTTTGATTGTGTAGATTTCGATATTTTAATAGATAAATTAAAACAATATAACTTTAATGAGGACTCCTGCAGATTTTTAAGTTCATATTTATTAAACAGAAAACAATATGTCTCGTTTGAAAATAAGGTGTCTAAACATGCAGTAGTTCCGTCAGGTGTCCCTCAAGGATCAGTCCTCGGCCCTACATTATTCCTGCTTTACATAAATGATATAAGTGGGCTTAAAGGTTCTGAAACTATCCTTTTTGCAGATGATACTTCAGTGGTAATACCTTGTAAAAATTTAGAAACTTTAAATAAAAAACTAACTGACAGTAGGCTACATACAACACAATATTTTACCTCGAATTTCCTAAAAATAAATGAAAGTAAAACTAAAAACATCGTCTTCACTCACTCAACTTCAATAAACACTGGAAATCCCCCAAGTGTTAAGTTTCTTGGCCTAATGCTTGACGAAAAGTTAAACTGGGGACATCATATTGACCATATAGCATCCAAAATATCAAAAAATATGTTTGTGATAAGGTCCTTGCGTAATCTGGTCCCTATGAATATAATAAAAACAGCCTACTATTCACTGATTGCATCGCACCTGTCATATGGGTTAATATGCTGGGGACACGCTCCGTGTAGTGGACGATTGTTTGGTCTGCAACGCAAGGTCCTGAGAATAATGACAGGAGCGGGATACACTGAATGCGTAAAAAAATACTTTTCAGAATTAAAATTTTTAACCCTACTTGCCATGTTTGTATATGTTAGTTTGTTGCACGTTTATGACAACATAAACTCCTACAAGATGGTAAAAAATATTTACGATTATAAAACTAGGCACTCTGAAAACATAAGAACTGAATTTTCGAGAATTTGCGCCAGCAGAAATGGTTCAAATTATTTTGGGCCAATCTTCTATAATAAAATTCCTTTAAAAATAAGAATGTTAACAAGAAAAAAATTTGAAACTTCAATAAAAATATTTTTAATAAACAATTCTTTTTATAGTTTAGATGACTTTTTAAGCTGTGACTGTCAAAATATGTAGTAATTAGTCTTTCTATGCTTGTACTAGGTATATCCATTTTATAATAAATTATTAATTTTAATGTTGAAATTTTAAATGTAATTTGTGTAAACTTTTTGTACTTAACACGAATAAAGATGATTATGATTATGATTATGTAAAAATATACATTTTTTATTTTTGTAAAGATTTTGGATACCAGTTCAATGTTTTTCTATTTTTACCAAATGATACCAATTTGATAATTTAACACGTTGACGGACAGTGATAAATTGGTGGGGTACTTCAGAAATACACAGCTGTAACTTCTAAACGCGTCGATAGATTTTCATTAAATTTGAACAGAGGTATTTGTGTATGATTAGAAGTTGACTTTTGTAGTCAAAATGCACTACTGCTATTGAAGTACTGTCCCCCTGGGTAGAATTTTTTAACACTATGGGACAGTGTACTGCAATGACAGTACTGCTATAGCAGTAATAAACAACAAAAAACTGAACATCTTTTTTATTTACATTTTAAGTCAGAAAAATAACTAATTGGAACAAAAGAAACTGTTATGTATGCCTACTTCTACTATTCATTATTTTTGTGATACGATTCGAAACAAGCCGGGCACAATGGGATGGTTCCCTCGCATCCTTTGCATCTAAATGATGTTTGGGTTCTTTTTCCTGTTTTTGAGCACTGCTTGCAATTTAGGAAGTAGTTTTTTCTAGAATAATTTTCTGACAGAATTGAATTTTTTTCGGGGAAATGACTGAACGGTACTGGATCAGTTGGAACTTTCAGACTGCCACGATTACTGTGTGTGGAGCTTGGTGTTTTTAGTTGTTTGCCTGACGCGATATCTGAAACTTTCAGTAGGGGCCTAATAATTTGTTCTCGAAACTCTAGTAGTCGAATTTTATTGTTGATCATCTCCTTGTATATTATATACGCATTCATGAGCGTCACATCCAGTAAATGAAAAATTATTTTTTTGTAGCATCTGACGGTTTTTCGTGGACAGGAATAATATGAGACAAGTTGATCGCATCTGTCTACACCAGACATATATATGTTGTATTTTGATATTTCCAAAGGTTTCTTCTTTGCCTGACCATAACGGTTCTTGGTATCCACCATTTTTGGATGGTACTTCGTTGTGATCATCAGGACGTCCCGATTATCTTTCCACTTGGATACATAAATACCGCGATATCTTCGCCAGATGTGATCTCCTTTTTTTAGCTTATGTGTTGTCACAACTCTCCGGTTAGAGCGTAAAGTTCCAGTCGTGTGTGTTTTATATTTTTCTAACAGAGTTTTAGACAGTCTAACAGAATTGTAGTAGTTATCCATAACTAAATGATGTCCCTCATTGAGGTAGGGTTCCATAAGTCGTAAAACAAGGGAATCCACTTTAGAAGTTTCTTCCGATTCCTGTTTGCCTTTATATATTTCGATGTTATGAACATAGCCACTGGGTGAGCATAACTCAAAAAATTTTATGCCGTACCTGGCCTTTTTATTTTTGATATATTGCCTGAAGCTTAGTCGCCCTCTAAACAATAATAATGATTCATCCAGAGACAGATGTTCATGTGGATAATATGATTGCTGAAAATTTTTTAGAAGTAAATCCAATAATGGTGAAATTTTATGCAGTTTATCGTCAGTGATAACCTCATAAACGCTGAGACAACGCAGAATTTTTTCATAACGTCTTCCTGACATGGTTGACAAAAACACGGGGTGGTAATATAGCGGGTCATTTGCAAATGCTTTTCTTAGATTAGGAAATCCTATTTGCGCTCGCAGAAGCGTAAGACCAATAAATTTATCAAGCTCATCCTTAGTAATTTCAGTGAAATTTGTTGCTCGGGCATACTTTCTATGCGGACGTGCCATCTGCGACATTTTTTTCCCGTAAACATTGGAACATCTTAGAATTAGGTCTTGTACCTCGTCTGTCCATAATTTTTTAAAAACTTCTAAAGGCGTACTTTCGTTTGTAAGGTTTAGTTTGATGCCTGCAAAATTTACGTCGAAGTTAAAATCCGGAATATCTGTTACCTCATCGACCCAATCTTCGTTATCATTCCACTCATTTACAGTGTCAGCTTCAGCTAAAACAAAAAAAAAACATATGAAAATGAATACAAAATTTTATATACTATTTTTTTATTTATCAAATACATAAAAAGCAGGCCTAGTATGAAGAAGCATGTAAATGACTTACCTTCATTTTCTGGTAATATTTTCATCGGACGAACCGCCACTGCTAGAAGAACTGTTCGGTGGTTCAAATGTAGGGTCTGTTACATCGAATTCTCCATCGTTGTCCTCAAAAGGATCGGCACTGGAACTACTTTCCCCACTGCAGTCACTAGCTTCCTCAAACCACTTTAGGAGTTTTGCCTCCTCCTTTGCATTCATATCTAACTACAAATTATTGAATTCCGCGTAAAAAGTATTTTAGAAAGACTCAAAAATATTTCTAACCTATTTTCCTTCTGGAGGGCGCGAAACAACTAACACGTGTAAATTAAATGCACGCACTACTGCTATGGAAGTAATGACGCCGTTTAGTCCTCCCACCTAAATCACAACATACGATCAAAGCCCCGCCTTTTTTTGGTCTAAGGTGACAGTGCCCCAAATTTAACGTATATGCCGCAGGACAGTATGGTGTAAACTAACATGTATCGTAATGGGAAACGCTACTGCTATAGCAGATGTGTCAATTTGAAGACTAAAATTACCTACTGATATGGCAGTAGTGTCCCGGTAGATCAATTCAAAATTACTGTAATAGCAGTTATGTCCGTCAACGTGTTAACCGACTTAGTAGCTCCAATAATAACGGAGTTAGCAATGGTGAGTTTTGGACACTGTGTATATTAGGGTGCTTCGTATTTGGCCAAAAAAAATTTTTTTTTTATTTTGATGCGTGTCACCCTTTTATTCTGTTCTAAGACGCAAAAAACTAATACGTAATTTTTATTTTATTTTTAAAGTATTATTTAGGGGTCGCTACCAGAGAATGAAAACTAAAAAAAAAAAGTATTTTTTAAAATTCTTTAATTAATTTCTTAAAAAGACAAGCATACAATTATTATACAACAAAAAAAATTTATTTATGCTAATAAAGTAGTTTTCTTTGTATCAGGGTACTTTTGCCTGAAATTTTTTACAACCAAAAGGAGGAATTGTTTTTGTTCTTCGTCTGTGGTAATTAGTTTATAAAATTCTTCAATCAATGCTACGCCGCGTTCCGCAATGTCGTTCACCACTCTCATAGAACGTACAATTTCTCTGGAAGCTTTGTAGTCTTCATCTTCTTCCCAAAGACGAGGTTCTTTTTGCAAAAACGCAGACGGAATTCCCAGGATTCTGAAAAATCTTAAGGTGTTGCTGGTCACGAAATCCTCAATATTTTTTTCTTCGATGTGACTTAGATCCAAAGTGATTCGCTTTGGGCTATAGTCTGGACCTTCCTCATTCAGTGCAATCACCATTTTTTGTTTGATTTCAAGAGAAACTTCTTCATCAAAAAAAGCAAGCGCAACAAGTTCTTCGGACAGATACCACAAATGCCCCAGGAACTTCGTTAAAGCTTTTTTGGACATGGCTTTGTTTATATTTTCAAATTTCTTAAGATTTTTCAACAGCCACAAGTCATTCCTTGGTGCTGAAGTTGCCACGGGAGCTTGGAACCAGCATCTTACATAAATCGTAACGACGAAAACGCAAATCTCAGTAATGGCTTTAAGTTCGTTTTTTGTCAGTTTAAACTGGTCTCTGAACATAAAAATCTTAAGGCAATAAATTGATTTTGCCATCCATCGTGCGCGATGAAGACCTGCTGGAGCTCTGAATGATATCCTTTTATTTGGCACACCTCCCAAAAATATTATTGTAAGTGTCAACAGTTTCTTGTAATCGTCACGTGGCTGATAATCATTTAGCTGTTTTTCAGCAAATGAAATTGTGCTGCCTACTATATTTTCTACGCATCTTAAAGCGTCAGGGTCTAAAGAAACTATACTGAACTTATTCTGGTCAATGTTAGGCCAAGCAGATCTAAATCGTTTGAAGATCAATATTTCTGGTCCACTTGATGAACCTAGTGCTTGAACTACGATTGCTTCTAGCAGTATTTCCATTATATGGTGACGACAGGCCAACCAACCCAGATAGCACCATTCGTCCAATGGACGTCCGTTTAAGATCCATTTTAAGTACATTGGTCCACGGACAAAAAATGGATGTACTAAGTACGTCCATATATTTACATCCTTTGTACGATTTTAATGGACGTCCATATAGTGTCCATTTTCCGTCCATAATTATTATTACAGAAATGCAAGTTAAAACGTATTGTTGGCTGCATAACAACAGTTATGATCAATCTCACTGACATTCAAGCAAGCGCGTGCTATAAAGGACTTAAGCTATCAATGAAATGTTAAACACTTGTAGTATTGCAAATGTAATGTTCCTGAGTCGAATACAAGGATTTCCTGCAATGTTCAACATTGAATGTGGTAACTTTTAACAACTTTTAGAATATTTATATTCCTAGTGGGATTGTTACTGAGCCAGACAAAAGGCATTTCAGTCATGTTGTAGAAAATTTTCTGCAACATCGCAATGAAAATACAGTCGCAAAAAACAGTTAAAGTAAGCAAAAAAGCAGGTCCTAGATGCTGGAGGAATGGTTCAAACACCTTATAGACGTCCATCGGTGGACGACTTATGGATGTCCAAAGTTGTGACATCTGGACTCTAAACGGATGTCCATGGGACGTCCATAGAAAAACAATGGACATCCTATGTACATACAGACGTCCACGAGCATACGTCCATTGGACATTCATAGTATACCTTTGTGCTATCTGGGAAAGAGCATCTTTTTCCATCTTTTGCTCTAATAGAATGCAAGCACCTGCTCTTAAACCAGTGTTGACCGCAGTGGTGTCGAAGCAAAAGCATTTTATTTTGTCGCTCAAGTTCCAAGAAAGAATAGTGTCATAAACAGCTGAAGCACACGCCTCCCCAGTTCCATGACTGAGTTTTGGAACTGCCAAAAGTTGATCTACACCCTGTCCTGATACTAAAATGGGAAGGCGATCCACTGTTTTGTGTCCTATTATGTCCTCGATCCGTTTGCCGTCCCAATGAACAGCAAGAGGCGTATTTGGATTAAATTCTTTCTTTAAGGATTCCGCTACCCTTTGCCTTTGCTTGATACGCTGGCGACGAATTGAGGATGAATTTATATTGAACTCTGATGGATTGGTACCTGTACTTTTGAGCATTGATGTCAAAACAACAGCTGCTTTCCTGTCACTTAATTTAGCATAGTCGAGGCTTGCGGATAAGCGTTCATCAAAGATGTTCTTTCTGCCGCGTTTGCGTTTAGGTGGGACTTCTAAATCTGCCGTCGAAGGTCCCGCCCTCACTGAAATTTCTGACGTTGAACTTTTACTTTCATCATCACTATTGCTAGTCGAAGAAGATAGTATGCATTTTTCTCGCTGGGATTCAATGTACCTTTTTTATCGATCTAAAATACTTTGAAGGCGAGCGTTTTTCTCCTCTTTTTTCGCTGTTTTTTTTTAAGATTTTTGTCCACTCCGCCTATTGTACCAGGGCGTCCTCTTTTTCTCTGCTCAATTAAAAATAATCTATCTTCCTCAATGGTAATCCTGTTTAGAGCATCAGCGTGTGCTATGTCAAACAGGTCTTCCAAACAATTTTGCCACTCCTTTTCTTTATTTCGTAGACCTTCAGAGCGTTTGAATTTATTTTCTTTATTTTTTTTCAACTTTTGCCACTCATTAAACTTGTTCTCTATCTTCTTTATAACATCTTTTTTCAATTTAGTTGGAATGCCCGCTCGTTCCCACAATGCCATGACGTCACAAGCAGCAGAATTGGCCGAATTGCGATTGGTTTGCTTCATTACGAATTTAAAGTGAAAAAATAAACTCTGTACTTCTTTTGTCGTTGGTAACTTGCTTTGAATAAAGTGGTCAGAGGTTTGTCCAACTAGCCAAACATCTGTTTTTTTTTCTAGTCAACAAAAGCGAACTAGACGAGGATGCCATTATGTTATAAAACGCGATGCGTGCCAAAACAAAATCGAACGTGCACTCTCTATCACGGCTTATTTTTTACTAGTTTGTTGCCTATCTCAAGGCGTGACTGGTGCGCGCGGGAGGGGAAGAAGGGTGGGACCGAGTGTCCTTGTACGGCATAATGTGACAAAGAGCATGCATTAGTATGTTTTATCATGTATAAATGATGAATATAACTGTTTTATGTCCATTGAGCTGCAAGTTATAATTATCATAATTTTTTCAAACTTTGACACGAGGTAGCGACCCCTAAAAACCTATGTAAAAAGTAAATAAAAAATATAGGTTCGTTTTTTAGGTGATAGAAGCGAATGGCGGGCTGACGCAGTAATTTTTCAAAAGTCGAAAAATAAGAAGCACCCTAGTGTATATGTATATATTTAATTTTATATACTTTAATTTTACCATTAGTATTAGCTTTCTGTTTTGTCATGTCATTTGTAAAAGATTAGGTAAACTATTTACCTAGTAGGAAGCATCAGGAAATGCCTTTTGAACTTGTAGATTTGTTTTCTTGTATCCTTTTTTCCTCTGCAAATGATGTAGATTATTTTGCGTAACCCAGGTTGCACCACGTGGAGGCAGTCTACCTTACAACCCTAAAAGTTTTTGTTTTTATTGTTTTTGTATTTTTATTTGGTTTTTATAAATTTTATTAAAAAATAATCCTATAAAATAAATAAATAATAATAATTATAAAATTTTCGGTGGCGTATAAACTGAAAGTCTAACACAATAATCAAAAAATATATCTTTGCAGTGAAAAAATTAAAATTATTTGAAAATTTTGAAAAGTGTATTTTAAAACTAGTTTCTAACCCTGACATATGGAGACACTGCTTTAAAAACTCAAGCCAATGCTCTTGAATACATTTTATAAAATTTATTAAAGTGTCACTTGCATACTTTAATTTGTTTACATTAGAATCAAATTCTTTAAAAGAAGTAAAAGTATGACTTTCATTAATATTTTCAAAAAAAAGGAAGAATGACAAGTTTAGCAATCAGGTATTTTAACTTACTTAAAAAATACTCATCAACACAGGTAGTTCCCTGAATTTCTGTACAATTAGACAATGCTTGTTCCACTACAGTTAAATCTGTTTTAAAAATATTTATTTCTGATTCTTGACTGTTTGTTTATGAATTTTGTAAAACCTCGTATATCCTACCTGCATCATCCTCTGTATTATTATTTTTAAGAATAATAGGGACACTAAAACTGTTTTTAATGCAGCAATAAATTGATAGCAAGATGGTGTAGTGTTAAAAAACCCATGTTGTCGAATGTGACAAAAAAGGTTTTCCACTGGGTCTTGATTTAAATATCTTGGTGAAAGATTTAAAATCCTCATTTTTTTAACTCAGACCACAGTGCCATCATAGATTTTATATTTGTTTCCCACCCTTTAACAAAAAAATATTGATTTGTGCAAATTTGTTTGTACATCAATAAACTGCCAATGTTGCAAATCTATTAAAACATCATTCCAAAACTCTACATGACCTGATGTTTCTGTAACAGCAAATTTCAAATGAACATTAATGTTGTCCTGCTTCGATTCCTTTCTATAATAACTTATATCATGTATATCAGAAACAGTCATTTCTTCTTCCCTTGTTTCATCTGTAATATTAATACTTGGTTTAAAGCGTTCCTTATAACCGACCCCGTTTACGGAATAAATTCTGCAGTAAAGGTTGCTTCAGAAGGCAAACGTCCATTTGTAACTAAGCTTAAAATACAAGCTGAAACAAAATAGCTTAATTGTTGGGCCTCATAGAAAACTTTCATTTTTGTGAATGAATTTTTTAAATTAAAATGCTGGTCTGATAATCTAGACAACATTCGAAATAAATTTTGCGTTTTATGAATGTTATATGCTTGCATAATGTGTGCAAATTTGGCAAATTTATTATTTTCAAAATTTAATATTACAACGCAGCAAGGAATTGCGTGTACTTTTTAACAAATGAGGGGTATCATAAAGTAAATAAAAACATTTTTCATTAATTTGAAAACAATGAGATCCAATGTTGCTTTCAAAAATTGGTGCTACCTTGGTCACTAATAGTTGCTCTAACATTTAATCCAATGGATTGTAATTTAAAAATTATTTCGATTAAAATTAATTTTAAATTATTACTTGGGACAGTACCTTTAAAAAATAATATGCAATTACCTCTTTCCAATTTAAACTTATACCCCTTATCATAAAAACTAGTGCATGATCTGCCCTTCTGGAAGTACGACCAAGGTGCCCTTAATCTTCAAAACCACAAACTTCTTGCTTTTTAGCATCAAAATATAAAAAGTTACTTAAAGACATTTCAACAAAAAGCAAACTGCAGTTGTTATCAGGCAAGGTTTTTATAATTTCTTTTAGGTGTTCCAAATACAAATCATTAATACCAGTATTTAATTGAATTTTACTTAAAAGCTTTTTAAAATAGGTTATTGATGGCAAGGAAAAATGAGTGGACATATATCGATAAAGCTTTCCACTTCGTTTGTACATAGAAAGTGCAAAAGCTTTATCATCATCTATCCATACCCTCCCTTTTGGCTTACTTCTTGCATTTGAGACCTTATAAAATTTAAACTAATTTTGTTTAACCCTATAATTTACCGGTTTTGTATAATTCTTGTAGATTTTTCAAATCAGCATTTTGTTTATTGAATTTATTTTTGAGCTTAAAAACTCTAGACGATGCAACCTATACATATTTCTTTTACTTTCAGTAAATCCTTTTCTCTTACAAGAGACTTTCTTAAGGTTTTGAGCCTTTTTATATGTAGATGGGTTAATAGAAGCTTCATCTGAAGTAGATGGTGTGGTAAATGCTTCAGCTAAAGTTGCTGGGGAGGTACAGCAGAAGTGGATGGCAGAGATATATCCATTGGAATTTGGTGCAATTTTGATGTGCTTGGGTTGCAAATGATATCAACATTTGGAACTTTAGGGAGTTTTTAAGATAAATAGGAGGGCCTTTAATAAGTATGATCGTGAAAATTAGGGTTTGATATTTTAGAAAGGTCTTTTGGGATGGTTGCACGTTTTAAATTCCTTTTTTTCTCTGTTTTAAAATTGGAGGATAAAAAATGATTTTCACAAACCAAGAGGGATTTTACTTTTAAATGAATTTCACAGATCGCATACCAAGTTAATTTGGTAGATTCATCTGCAGGACATTTAAAGAAGGATTTATTATTGTGGTTTAGTAAATAAATTTTGGGTTTATACCTACGGTTTTTACTTGGGTATTTGCCCAAATTGGGTATTTACTTGGGTTTTTTCAGTAAAAAAGTTAAAACGTTGTTGGGGGCATTGTTTTATAATAAAAAGGTATATATTATTGATTATTTTTACTACAAAAAAACTTAAGAATATCACTAATCATTAATCAAAGTCGGAAGAATCATCTAGCGAATTCACTTTCCTCTTCATCAATTTCTTCACTATTATCACTGTTATTAATAATATCATCAATCTCAACTCTATTCTCTCTTGACCTTTTGCTTGTGTTGAAATTACCATCAGTGGAGGAATTTGGATCCGGTCCTGGTTTAGTTGTAGCTGCCTGTTCGGTTTCTTGAACACAAGCTTGAACACCTTCATTTTATTTTTTGCTAGTTTGCTTACACTCTTTCTCGTGTAAAAGTTTCCAATTATGGGAAAGATACGTAATTTTACCAGCTCTTTCATTAGTTAACCAGTTGCGTTTTTTATTTTGGATCCAGCTGAATGTACTAAAGTACCTCTCTAGCAGCGGAGCTAACGGGAGCGGATAATATGCGGACTGCAACTTCTGAAATATGAGTATTTTTAAAAATGCTTTTCCACCATACTACCGGCGAGACTAACGTCACAGGAAGCCAGACAAATTTTTTGCACCATAGACCATCTTTTTTAACGCTTGCGACACTTGATGCTGAAACATCAATATTCATATTTTCAGCGACTTTGTAAATAAATTCCATCGCATCTGCTGTTAAATGGTCCCCTTGATTTGAGGGGTCTAATACTGCGGCAGCTAAGTGAATTGACCCCAAAGCCATGCACTTTCTTTCTTCAATTTTTTGTACAATCATACCCTCCTCTGCTTTTGTGAGAGGGGACTGAGGTAACAAAAAATTGATTTTTTTGAAGATTATTAAAGGCATTATGCACTTTATGAATTAGAGAATCGTTACTCTCAATTGTTTTAATTAAAGCTACAAAGGGTTGTAGAATTAAGATTAGCTTCTCAACACGAACCCAAAAAATGTTGTCATCTAATATACGGGATTTTAATTCTTTTGGTAAACAGTCTGCTGCATGCTCATTTACTGCTAGTGTTTGGAGTGTAGCCTTGCAAGCAAGGAGGCTTTGGAGGGTGTCAAGAAAACTCCCCCAACGGGTTTTAACTGGTTTTAACTGATGTTAATATTTTTCTCTATATTTATCTTACTGAATAGTACATGCACATTTTTTATAGTTTCAATAATATCTGTATAGCTGTTTAGGAATGATTGTGATGATTTGCAACAAAGTATGTCGTTACACAATAACTGCAAAGTATGACATAAACATCCCAGGGGTACAAGATGAGTGTACTTTTTAAGTAACAAAGTGAAAGCCTTTTTTATATTAGCTGCGTTAAGGCGCGTTCTCACGGGTCAAGTTTAGTTGATCAATTTAAGTTGATCAGCTAAATTTGAATCAAACTTGAATCAGTTGTTGTTCACACTTTTTAAACAAACTGATTCACCGGTTTCAATGTAAAATGGCGTCGAATGCCGTGTGGGTGAATGTGTACAGATTGTTGTAGTTTTGTTAAAAGAAGAATTGAAAATAATTGTTGATATGAACAAAATTCGTAAGAAACGTCGTTTTTGGGTGAGGCAGTGGATTATAAAAAGAAATAGATTGGGAGCATCAGAAACCTTGTTGAAGGAGCTAGCATTAGAGGATAAAGAAGGGTATAGAAATCATTTACGAATGTCTGAAGAGAAATTCGACGAATTGCTGTCAAAAGTTCAGGATTGCATAAAAAAACAAGATACAGTTATGCGACAAGCAATCTCACCAAGATTAAAATTGCAAGTAACTTTAAGATATTTAGCTACAAGTGATTCATTTTCAACGCTTGCTTTCATGTATCGAATACCTAAAAATACCATTTCAAATTTCATGGGAGAAGTGTGTACGGGAATATTCGATGCGTTACAAGATTTTATTAAAGTAATTATACAAATTTATTAAAGTAATACAAAATTTAGTCTAGACTTCTTAGAGCTGTAAGAAGTATATCAGATGATTCTTGTGAATCCTCTTCATATTGTTGCCTGTTGCATGATTGATTTGAAACCGAAGACGACCAATGTACTTCTTCCATATTGCTTGAAAGGTCTGGTGATGGAGATGAATACTCAGGTGAAAACGCTGGTGATGGAGTTGTCTGATACTCAGAAGGTGAAAACGCTGATGATGAATTTGTACGATACTCAGACTGTCTCATTAAAAGCTGTACTCGCTTTTCTCGTATTATAGTTTGAATTTGTTCCTGACAAATGATTGCATCGTAAAGAGGCATCTTTTTAGTTGTACAGCGATATGTTTAGCAAATATGTCAAATTTATCATCAACATTACTTATATTTTTTTTACTACTTCATCCAATTTATCAATGGCTGCGCTTATAGTTGAAATATTTTCGTTGCCTGTTATTTTTCTTTTGCGATTATGAGGAGCACGAAAGACTTGTGTTGTCTTTAAATGTTTTGTAGTAGACAGATTGTCACTTTCTTTGTTTTCTAACTGTATATCTTCTTCCTGGCTATTACTATTGCAAGTAGTAACAGATGAAACTGTTGATGTAGTAAATACAGTAGAAACCACCAATATATGATCGGGTGCCGAACATATCTCAGACATGCTAGCAGTAATGTTTTACTTGTCTTGTACATTCGATGCAGCGGTAAATGTACTCACACGTAGGTTTTTAAGCACCCGGTCTAAAATGCGCCATCTCTGATGTAAAACTGCCTAGGTGTTGGACAAAGATAGACATATGAGGCGTGTCCTAGCTTGTTACTTATATTCAGTAGAGTTCGTGTTTTAGGCATTTATTTTATTTTATTACATAGTAAGGCAACCAACTTTACCGTCGGCCATTTGTTTTTATATGTCATATGATCTTTGTTTTTGCATATCGTGTTTCTGCTGTGTGTTTACGGATTAATAATCGTTTTAAACGTTGTAGTGCATGTTATTGCATGTTTATTGGACTTTATTGCAATTGTTATTGTACGTTTTTTGGACATTAAATAAACGGTGTGTGTTTACGGATTAATAATGGTTTTAAACGTTGTAGTGGCAGTGGTTTATATTATGTAACACAGGTAGATGTCGTATAAAAATCCTTACCTAGAAATTCTAGGCTAGAATACAAAAATATTTTTATTATATAAATTTTGTACTAGTATTAGTTTAATACATTCTGAAGAAGCTACTGTGTAGCGAAACAATTGTCAATATTTAATAAATTTCGTGAAACTAACGCAAGTTGTTTTTATATCCACACAATTTAAATATGTTTCACTTTGTACCTGACCTGCGTAAACATTTTTGTTTTTTGTCACCAATTCTGAAATATTTGCGTTTACAGTTAAAAGAATAGTATATTCTGTAACAAGTTTGACGGTTTCACGAGAGGGGAATATGCAATTCCAAACGTGTTTCAGACTATACTTTTTCTACGTTTCCAAAAAATACCATAGACAAAGAATTTAATTGGAAGAAAGTGAGGTTGGATCGGTCTAAAAATTTGTTAGATATTAAAAACAGAGATGTCGCCACGAGTGTACGTTCTGTCATCAGATGATAGAATATTTCATTAAAGTTAAAAGAAAAGTTTATTTATTAATTAGTTTCTAAGAAAATTACATTTTATTTAATTATCGTAGATGTTAATTATTAAAATTTAACTTTAAAAGCAAATATATCATAAGTATAGCAACCAACATTACCCTCAAGATTTTTTACAAACAGGACTGCACTGGACCGTGACCTTCGATAGATTGCTTCGTACGAATGTGTCGGATGAGTCACGTTCATATATTCGTGGTTTCTACTTTACGTTTTCCGTTTCGGTTTCTTCTACATTTTCGATATCTTTTCTTTCAGCTTCGTCATATTGCAAATTCTAAAAGACAAAGAAAATTTCATTGAAATACTTTATATTAGTAACAATTATATTAAATGATAATAACATTTTTTATTCCAGGTACCAGAGAATGAACAAAAATGGAAGCAAATTCAAAGGGATGGAATTTTTCCAATTGTTGTGGGGCGTTAGATGGAAAACATATTGTAATACGAAATGCCCCTCACAGTGGATCAGAGTATTTTAATTACAAAGGCACATATAGCTTAATTTTGTTTGCGTGCGTTGATGCAAACTATTGCTTTAGCTATTTCGACGTAGGCACAAATGGACGAGCAAATGATGCTGCTGTTTTTGCAAAATCATCGTTGAATACAGCGTTAGAAGACGTTAGGAATAATTTACATTTTCCGAAAGGTGGAGTATTTGTAGCCGACGATGCTTTTCCCTTAAGACCCTACATTTTAAAACCCTATGGAAGAAGTACTCATTTATCTAGAAAACAAAAAATCTTTAACTATCGCTTATCAAGAGCTCGCCGTATTGTTGAAAATGCCTTTGGAATTTTGGTTTCTAGATTCAGGGTGTTTGAACGACCTATAGCAGTTGGAATTGACAAGGTGGACGGAATTGTTAAGGCAACTTTAGCATTACATAATTGGTTAAAAAAAAGTTCTAGTGAAAAGTATACACCAACAGGCTCTTTTGATACTGAAGATTTTAATACTAGTCGCATTATACCGGCTTCCTGGAGAACAGACAGTACAGAAGCGAATGGTTTAGTTAATTTACAAGTTAATTTAGGAAGTCGCAACTAGATTGGCGTCTAATGTGCGTGATGAATATGCCGAATATTTTGCAGGACATGGAGCTGTGCCCTGGCAAATAAATATAATACACGACGATGTAAATAATTAAAAGTTCATGTAAAAACATGTAAACAATTGTTTTTATTAATAAAAAGTTAACTTACAAAATTTGATGAGGTATTCCTTGTGTTAGTTACACCTTTTATAAATATATCCGCTCTTTTATACCAAAACAATTTTGGTATGTACAGTTCTGCTGTTCCCATTCCACTTTTTTTATTTGCAAACCAATGAATGTTCTTTTTTATACATCTTTCTAATAACCTTGATTTTGTTCTTCAGATCAGCAATAGTAAGACCAGAAATTTCCATTTCCTTTAAAATACAACCCAAAGCATTTTCTCGGGCATCTTTATTTTTATATTTATCCATTCGGTGGTTCCAAAGACAATCATGCTTATTATATAGTTCCAAAAATTTTATCATAACACTTTCAGACCACTTAAGGCTCATTTTTTTAAATATTTTTACTTTCAATATTTTATTTATGCCAAATCAAACACACACGTGCACCGCAGCCAGTTCAAAGTGTACTACACATTCAACAAAAGTTGACTGCCTAGTTCACACGTTTCAAAACAATTTTCCACTTGAAAACAATTCGTGTTGACGCATCACTTGAACGATAAAAGTTTGATCGAGTCAAACTTTTATTGATCAACTACAAAGTTGATCAACTCCATTAAAAGTCAGGTTTTCACTACAGTTTTCATTCAACTTTTGTTGATAAACTTAAATTGATCAACTAAACTTGACCCGTGAGAACGCGCCTTTATCTCCTATGACAACAAAGAACTTCTTAGGATCTGATTTTTCAATAACCTCTGAAATTTTTGTACATAGGTATTCTCCTACATGTCTTTTTTCTTTGATGGCAAGAAATTTTATAAAAACTGGCTCAGGCTTTGATATCATAAAGTTTATAATACTTTCATTCCGTATGTTGCTCCATTCGTCACATTGGAGGTGTAAATGTTTGGCTTCTGTTAAACTGGAGCATATGTCGCTTTTCATTGCATTGTACTGATGTTCAACCATGTTGTAGATACAGACTTTCTGGTTGGAAGCTTGTAAGATGGTCTCAGCTTGTTAAAAAACTGTATCCAGAGACGATGCTCTACTAAAGATAGCGGTTATGTACTTACAAA